AGTTTGGGGAAATCAGGAAGATGACATTGTTGATAATTTCATAATAATTTGATGTAGGTGGAATAAGAGAGATAGAATTTATTTTTTAAATTATCATATTCTTGAAACTGTCAGTTTCTCCAGACCATGTGTATCTGGGTAGGCCATACACAGTTTTCCTGTGGACGGTATTGATGCCTAAGAGGAGAATGGATGACACAGGAGAAGGCCGAGACCACAGGTCTCAAAGATGTGGGCAGAGAAACGCTGCGTAGTACTTTCTCAGGTTGCCTGACTTCATTTTTATGATCCTAAATTTATTCTCAATATGGAGGAAGTTAATTATTTTCATGGATTATTAGTAAGACATATGTGTTAATACACGGCATCTGATGAACTTCTAGAAAATATTTTCTGGTTCGGTGTAGTGGTGTACGCTTTTAATCCCAGCGCTCTGGAGGCAGAGGCAAGTGGATCTCTGTGAGTTCCAGGCCAGCCTGGTCAACACAATGAGTTGCAGGCCAGCTGAAGCTACAGGGAGACCCTGTCTCAAAAGGACAAAAAATAAAAAAAGAAAGAAAAGAAAAGAAAAAAGAAAGAAAAAACGAAAATACATTACTTTCAGTTATCTGAAGTTAAAGTTGAAGTTAAAGTTTGCATCTAATTCAAGCGTTAAAGTTAATCTGGCATATCAGTTCTGACAAAACCTCTCCAAGTTTTAGCATCTTCATACGTGCATCAGCTGGTAGTATTCCTGATTTTATTTATTGATCAAATGACCATGGTAGCTGTATAATTACTCCGTTTAGTGGCTTGAATCATTATGCATATTTTAAGTCTGTTTAATTTTCCAAAGATTTATTTCTTCCTTACTATTTCTTTGTGGGCTTAATTCTTGTAAGATTTGTGTGGTTTGTGTGTGTGTGTGTGTGTATGTGTGTGTGTGTGTGTGTGTGTGTGTGTGTGCTTGTCTAGTTACAAGAAAAAGTTACCTAGTAATATTTCTGTTTGGAAAATGAGTGCTGTAGCAAAAGTATCAAACTGGTATCTTTATTTTCAGAAAGCTATTCCTAGTCAGATTTCTTTTTTTGAATTTAAAATAAAAATAATTACTTTAGAAAGATTCTGAAAACAAAAATAAAAAGTGTTAGTACTATACTTTGCAATATAACATATAAACTCGGGTATTTAGCTGTGTAAAAAATTCAAAACATTAGGGACTAGAGAGATGGTTCAGCGGTTAAAAGCATTGGCTGTTCTTGCAGTAAACCAGAGTTGGTATTCAAGGTCCCACTTGATTATCAACCTCCTTCACTCAGGGTGATTGACACCTTCTGCCCTCCACCGGCATTGCAAGACATGGGTGCATTTACATACATGTGCACAATACACGCATACATGTAAAATAATAAATATCTTTTAAAATGCAAAACATTTCCCTATATGTCCTTGGAACTGTCCTGTTAAGCTGCTTATGCAGGTATTCACCAGGCACATTTTGATAAAGAGCAAACTAAAAAATTGAAACCCAAAATTTGTTCCTCAAATCACTCTGCTAAAGATGACTCAGCTGCCACTTGAAGGTAATTGTGCTATGGCCCAGCTAGGTGCCCTTTCCATCCTAGCAAGGTTCAGTCTGAAATGGACAGCCCGGTCTTTGTATGCCGCCGATTGAGACTTGTACATGTCCTCAAGATGCAGATTGCAGCCTAAAACTTGGTCCGTTGGATTGGCCAGAATCACCATCCTTGATTTCTAATCTCTCTCAATACCCAAAGAAGTACAGTCCCCCAGTATTCTCCAGTTGAAAGAGACATCAGAAGAGCCCAAGTCAGTTTGGGGAAGGAGAGACTCCTGGTAGTGTGGTTTGTAATTCGTTTATGCATTCACTTGGGCATGGACTGGGAGGGTCTCCCATTTCTGTCTGTACTGACCGCAGGTAGATTTGGTAGGAATGCTAATGAACAAGTTCTTGCAGGAATGCATTTTTCCACCTTCTCTGGTAAATAAATAAGTACATGTGGTTGGATCAGTCTATGCTCTGCTCTTAGTTAAGGAGAAAAAAAAAAAAAAAAAGCAGTGTGCTTTGGCCGGAGAGGGAAGACCCCACTTTATAAGTAAAGTTATCTCGGTCTCGAGTGCAAAAGCAGGGGCAGAGCAATTGTACCATGAGCGTATAAACAACAAGCTGTCCAGCAACACCACAAGGAACAAATAGGAAACTTCATCTCCCAAGTAAAATGAGATCTCCCTTTGAATTTATCAAGGAAATCGGGGCCATATGCGCACACAGGAAAACGGCGCCAAGAACTTACCGAACATGGCAGACTAGAAGGAACACGTACCTTCACCTGGTCCCCATAAACAGGACACCTGACACTGAGATGGCAAGGGCCCCTTTGACTACCATGTGACCACTGGGTGTGTGAGTCAAGGGACAGACGGGCAGAAACGGACAGACCGTGGGTTTCAGCTCCGCCCTACCCCACAGAAGTCAGGGCCTATTGCATTGCAGAGCTCCATCCAATTTGTCCATTGGGAGGTTCTACACTGATCCTTGTCCTTATGACCTCAATAGGTCTGCACTTAGCTTCTGCGTCTTGTCTCAAACCCGAGGCTGCACTCACACCTGTGGACCTGCAGCTTGGCTCTGTAGTGTGTCCAGTAATTACTTGGCAAACTGCAGCCAACAAGTCTAGCATAGTGTATTTATTATTATTCAATGCATTCTGACATTGTGGAAAGACAAACTGTGTCCATGTTTCTGACACGGTCTTCTTATATGGATGCAGTAGGGAAGACCACAAACTATCTTTTAAAAAAATATTTTGAGAGGATGTGAATCTTATTTCCATGTTGGTTGTTGACTCTGTGCTCCCACATGCTCACTACACCCCCACAAACACTTGCTATTCTTGTATTTTTAGTTTCAGCCATTGCAAAAGTTTTGTTGTGATCATCCTAGGATTTTATCTTCTTTTTTCTTAATATCTGAAGATGTCTCACTTGCTTATTGCATGTATATATCTGCTTTAGTAAAGTTTCCTCTTTATTTTGAATTATTTTTTTTATTATTGTTGTGTGTGTGTATGTGTGTGTGTGTGTGTGTGTGTGTGTGTGTGTGTGTGTGTGTGTGTATGTGTGTGTGTGTGTGTGGTGTGTGTGTGTATTTTTCAGTAGGAAATTGAATTAATGCATGTGTGTGCATGCATGAGTGTGCATGTGTGAACTTGTGTTTGTGTGCATGTGAAAATGTGTGTGTGAATGTCTTTTTGTGTGCATGTGTGGCCATGCATGTGTGTTTGTGTGCTTATATATTTATCTAGTGTATGTGTGTGCACATGATGAATGTGCACATGTGAAAATGTGTGTGACTGTTTTGTGTGCATACATGTCTATGTGAATGTGTGTACATACATTTGTGCGTGCCTGTATGCATGTACTTTCATGAATGTGTGCATGTGTGCGTGCGTGCTTGTATGTGTATGTGTGGCAGGCATGTGTGGCAGGGTGCACATGTGAGGTCAGAGGATAACTTTCTGGGGCCTGTTCTCTCCTTCCTGTGGTTTCCAGAACCAAACTCAGGTGCCAGACATGCACAGAAAACACTTTTGCTAACTAAGGCATTTCTCCAACTGGTAAAGTGTCGTCTTTAGGCAAGTGTCTTCACTTGAAGTGAAGTAAACTTTTGCCTGTTCTGAAGTTGGTGGTTTGTCCCCTTTATTATTGATTTCTGAATGTTCTGCATACAAACCTTCATTACATTTATGATATGCAAATATTTTCTCACAGTTTAGGTCGATCTTTTCATGACCTCAACAATGTCACTTGAAGAGCAAGTTTCAATTTTATTGTCTTCACTTTATCAAAATTTTAATGGTTTGTAATTTTGAGTTTTACACTAAAAATTTGTGGAATCCAAGGTCATAGAGTTTTTTTTTTTTTTTCTTGTTTGTGCTGAAAGCTTGATAGTTCAAGTTTGTAGGGCTTATTTTCAGGTCAGTTTTACAAACATGGTGCAAGATATTTAGCTTTGTATAAGCATATCCGTTTGTTCATATGCCATTTGTTAAAAAAAAATTTGAATTATTTGAAAAATCTTTGTGCTTTTGTTGAGGACTAGTTCTCCATGTGTGGGCCGTTAATGAACTTAGTCTTTTACTGATGCATTTGCTTATTGGTTGCCGATACTGCACTGTCTTGGTAGCTATCATTTTGTGATGTGTTGAAATATAATAATATTAGTTCTTTAAATGTTTTTACTATTCTAGATCTTGTGCATTTTTTCATGAATTTTGAAAGCACCTTGTTAATGCCTATGAAATATCTGAAAGGTTTTCAGTGGGATTCACAAATAATTTATTGAAGAAAAATGACATTTCAACAGAATTGAGTCTTGCAAACCATGAATAGAAAATTTGTACCTATTTAGTTTTTTCTGCTAAATTTTTCTCAAAATGTTTTATGGTTTTCAATGTCTTTCATGTATTTTTTCACATTATATTTCAGATTTGTTGATGATAAACAACAAATTGCAAAAGTACTTTTAAATTCCCAGTTGTTAATTATTAATATAAAGAAACACAATCACTATTTTATAGCAATCCTAGTTTTAATTCTCACTAAATTCACTTTTTATTTCCATCTTTTAAAAATATTTTCTTCTTTTTTTTAGATAGCGTTTTGTCATCTGTAAATAAATAGGCTTTAGCATTTTCCTTCTGGGGGGATGATTTTTGAATGATTTATCGCACTGGTTAATATCCAGAGTGATGTGGAGTAAAGTTCTGAGCATGCTCACTCCTCCCCCACTCCTGTTTTACATGTACATATATATGAAAATTCAAACTGTCAAATAAACTGTAAAGCAAATTATGTTAACCATTTATTGCAGTTCTTACGTACGTATTCCTATTAGTTACATGTACTTAATCTTCATCTCTTATTTTATGGAGAGAAAAAGATATGTGGACATATGAGTATCCATATGTTTTTGTAAAATATATTTTGACTTATTCTAGGTGGTTGTCAAATCTGGCCCAGGGACTTTTCTTAGTCTGGCAGTTTATGACAATTATATCTTTTGGTCAGACTGGGGAAGAAGAGCTATTTTGCGTTCCAACAAGTACACAGGAGGAGATACAAAAATTCTTCGTTCTGATATCCCACATCAACCAATGGGAATCATAGCTGTTGCCAATGACACCAATAGCTGTAAGTTATAATAGAGAACAATTTACTTCCTAATCATATAACCTCTCAGTGTTTTTCTCTCTCTTTTCTACTATTATAAATTTTGTTTTCTTATGATTTGTGGGATAGCATTTGGTATATGAGTACTCAGTGTATCTCTGAAATGTTTAAGTATTTATCACCATGAAAGCAATTTTATTTTTAATTATTTGTAGAATTCTACTCTACTTATCCTTTATATCCTTGGGAACACAAACTAACCTGTTTCTGGAATGATATAGTTTGCAATATTAATTATCATTTCTATTAGCACAAGCTCATTTAATATCATGACATTTGTACTAGTTACGGTTCTGTTGGTGTGATGAAACACCATGACCAAGGCAACTTAAAGAAGAAATAGTTTATTTTGACTTATGGTTCCAGAGAGTCCATTGTGGCAGGAAGGCAAGGTGGTAAAGGTGATGAGAGCAGAAAGCTGAGTGCTCACCTCTTTAGTTATTCCCCTAAAGCAGAAAGAACTGGAGTGGCATGTGGCTATGAACCATAAAGTCCGCCTCCAGTGATGTGCTTGCTCGAGGAAGGCCACGTCTTTTAGAAGTTCTATGACCTTTAGCAAATAGCACTTCCAACTTGGGACTATATTCCAAGTGTTCAAATAACTGAGCCCACAGGGGACCTCTCTCATTTAAACCACCATCGCATTCTTGGCAATGTATTAAAATATGTAATAATTTGTGTAATTTTTTTCTAATATATTCATTCTTTCGCAATGTTTGGGCTTTTCAGAAGTCCTAAATATTCTATTTATTAAACACCTATGGAGGTTGAGGCAGTTCGGCAGTTTGCTACTTACCTATAATTGACATACACTGTGTGTTCATTACAAATGTTACCACAGGCATCTTCATTACAGGTGAGCTCTCTCCATGCTCAGTGTTGAATGGAGGCTGCCACGACCTCTGCCTTTTAACACCTGATGGAAGAGTGAATTGCTCCTGCAGAGGGGACCGGATATTGCTGAAGAACAACAGATGTGTGAGTAAGTAACGAGAATCAAGATGTAATATGACACATCTGCTTAAAATATATTGAAATTGTGTTAGTGTTCATGAAACTTGCTATCCTCCAATAGTAAAATTTCAGTTTTTTCACATCTCTGTTTATGAAAGAATCCACCTCACCACTGTATTTTGTGATAGCACTGTGATAGGTGATGATATCCAAGACAATGACAAATGTCCTCCTTGATTGAGAGCCTGACAACGTAAGGTGTCAGAAGTTTCCGCATAGCAGATCATCTGGAAAACTGTAGCTGCGACTCTGAGAACCTGAAACTTATGAAATGAATTACAGCCGAAATAACTAGAATTCATGCAGGAGATCAGTGGCCATGCGCAAATGCTTTCACAGTCTGTTGCAGTATGTAAATGAGAGCTTATTCGCAATAATTTCCAAACTGTTAATTAAGAATGTAACATTGCAGCCTTGCGTGATGTTTATTCCTCCCAAAGGCATTGCAGTCTTTAATTAGCACTATTACAATATTCCCTTATTAACAGCTAAGTTTCCAAAATAAATAATGGTTCAAGTGTTTCAATATTGCCATGAAAAATTAGCAAGCAACATAAAAAAGGCTAATTTCCCTTTAGCATTGAGACAATTTGCATGCAAGAAAGGTAGAAAGAGGAGCATCTTGTTGGACGTTGGTGATCTCACTTGCCACAATGACAATTTTGACAGGTTTTTGCTCCTTATTTGTTTTCTCATCACTTATATTTTCATTTTAGGAAATTAACAGATGTGGGTACATTTACATGATTTTAAAAAAGTAGGTTCACTTTTCTCCTCAGTCGTCCTCTCCCCTTATTGACCAGGAGGATCTTCTCTTGAATCTGCTACGTATCTTTTCATTTTGCAAACTGCTACCACAACTAAGGGCAGGCACGTCTTCACAAAAACAGAAATGGTGGCTTTATATAAGACTATACCAGAACAAAAGAGAGAACAGTCCAACTAACTTTTCAGTGAATTTTTAATGCAGATAACCAATTTTAATATCTTGTGCCCCAGATCCCCATATTTCTTTGTTGCCTAATACTTCCATGGCAACTTGAACTGCCTTTTAATTAACCTTTGTGGTTTGAATCTCAGTGGTCTGAATCTGATGCCACCACAGGCCGGTGTTCAAGAAATGCCTTTGATCAAAGCAGCAAGAAGAATGTGCAGTGTACCATGTAGGCCTGCTGCTGCAAAACAGTTTATATATAACTGCCCCTACTAAGCCACCTGCTTCTTCCTATTGATGACAGGTGATGGGTCAGAAAAGAAAACATCACTTTAAACAAGCACAGCTGCATTGCCATGGAACTGTAGTTTCACACTGGGTTCCTCAGAGGTTACAGCTCTGTCGTGCATTTATTTTGAAATCCTTTGGTCCAGTAGAAAGTGTGCAAAATCGCTGCTGGTTTCTTCTTGTCAAATCCGGAGATGAGACACAAGAATATTCTGACATATCTGTGTCCACACTTGGATCAGGTCACCAGAGCTGTTCATGAATGTTAATGCCCTCTTTCATTTGCTAACATACATCTGAATATAAAGGGGGAAAGCCATTCATCGTCATAATTGTTGGCAAAATGTTTAGGCAGTTCCATTCCACACAATATTCCTAACTTTATCAACACCCATAATAAACAGAAAGGAAAAGCATAGATAAAATCCTTGCCATGTGAGAGAATGAGAGGCGGAGAAGATTCCTGTGTGTTTCTAGGCGTGGATGAAGCAGGAGTCTGCTGTGAATGATTCCAGGAGACCTAGTACTTCCGAGAAAGGACAAGGCTACTGGAGTTTCAACAGAAAGCTGAGTAGCAGATCAAGTTAGAGGTGGGCAAGTAGAGCCCATTCCTTTGATGGAGATGATTTCATGTCCATCATTAAGAAATGGTTGATCTTGTCACTAGAAATTTCAGTGCTCAGGAGAATATGTAAAACACCTGAGTAAGATGTCAAAGATCGTGAGACTGCACAGTTTGTTTAACGGGCTGCTTCATTTGGTTTTGGTTTTTGAGACAAGGTCTCACTATCTACCTTAAACTGTCCTTTAACTCACTATGATCCATGAAGCCCATACACTGGTAGTCCTGCTCCATCCCCATTGCTAGGGTTGTAGATGTGAGTAATCACACCTGGGTAATCAGTTTTTACTTAAAAGAATTATTTTAAGATAGACTACCACCCTAACTGCACAGTTATCTAAATTTAGACTACCGTTTTCCTCTACACATATATAACCAGCAAATGTGTGCAAAATGTCCAAATAGGCATAAAATAAAAATGTTCATACAACTCCAAAAACAGTTTATACATGATTCCCAGGACACTTCGAAAGATAATGTAAAGGCAACAGAAAGTCCCCCTGCTAATTTTTAATAAAGAAATGTGAAAAAACATTGATCTTTTTTTAATTTTATATATTTTATAATGTATTTTTCTTATTAAGTTTAAAGACCAGCATGATGATGACATAGAATAATCCTCATACAAAATACTGACTATTCATTCTTTTAGCTAAGAACTCTTCTTGTAACATCTACTCTGAGTTTGAGTGTGGGAATGGTGAATGCATTGACTATCTGCACACCTGTGATGGCATCCCGCATTGTAAGGATAAATCAGATGAAAAGCTGCTCTACTGTGGTAAGTGTCAAATAAGGATGTTCTAGTTTTAAAGAAAGTTCTAGTTTTAAAGTTGGTGGCTTGTTATCCTGTCTGTTTCATGCGAGTCATTTATTTTCTGTCTCTCATTGACATGTAGCCCTCAGGCAAATTGACCACTTCACTTGTGTTGAAATGAGATTATCTCATTATCTATCCAGTTACAATCATACGCATTGAAAAATTTCCTTATGGTTTCTATCCATAAAATGCGGATTAAAAGAAAATACGAGTTTGATTTTTTAACTTCCTGGTAATTCATCCTTACCAATAACTTTTAGGTTCATATTTCTAAAAATGTAATTCACAATATCAAAGAGCTGTGGATCTTGCAAGCTAACTATAACAAAGGATCACCTTCAGCAAAAAGCAAGTTGAGTAGGTGTCAAAGTATTGTTCATGGGGCTGGAGAGATGACTCAGCAGTTAAGAGCACTGGCTGTTCTTGCAGAGGACCCAGGTTTAATTCCGAGCACCCACATGGAGGGCAGGTAACAACTACCTGTTACTCCAGTATCAGGGTAATTCAACACCCTCTTCTGGCCTCTGTGGGCATTGCATAACATGGGTGCACTTACATATGTGCAGGCAATATATCCATACACATAACATAAAGAATACTAAGTAAAACATTTTTAAGTATTATTCATTCCAAATTTTACCCTCAGGTTCATGTTTACTGTGGAGTCTGGTTGCCACAGGGGTGATCTGTAGGAAACATGAACCCTTATCACTGTGTCTCTGTTGGTGACACAAATTGAAAGTCACCCTCAGAAGGAGACTGGCTTTTCTACCCTAGGAAGCAGCAGGGATTCACTTTCCTTTCCTCATTAATCTTTACTGTACAATTGTAGCACATTTATCTTGAAATTAGAGTGATTCATTTTAACTCTACAAGCCCAATAGCATTGGATATATGTGCCATGCAAAATTTAAGAATCATTGTCTAGAATTGATGCCATTCATATTCACTTTAATACTTTGGTCTATCACTTGGGTAATAATTAATCTGTCGAAGAAACCATAAAGAAGGAGATGGACAGTTGGAGAACTGCATGCATTCTTACATTGCAGATTAGCATCTCAGTTAAAATGATCAAGTACCATTTGTCCACAATTGATTTAGCCACAATCTTAAAGAATTTACTCAAGTAACATGCTTAATTTAGAGATTAACAATAACCTGCACAGTTTGAAAATAACAGCAATAATAATGATTACTGCAATAATTTGCATTTATTCTTAAGGGACTTGAGAATATATATTATTTATTTTTATATTAATAAAGACCACTAATATTCAAATAGAGAAAGAGTTGGAAAGCCATTTCTATAAAGGTTCAGCTAAGTATGTTAGGTTTTGTAGGAAGTATATGTATGACTGATTTATCTTATTACTGATTTTCCTTTCTAATTAACATTTAGGAAATGTAACTATTTGGAGAATAGATGGAGGCATTTCAATACAAGCATTAGTAAGCATTGACTAGATTGGGGTGACTGGCATATCTATTACGTCTGATGTTTATCATGTCTCTGTGTTGGTACTATTAAAGAACCTCTCTTGCCAGGCATGGTGATGCACTCCTCTAATCTCAGCACTCAGGAGGCAGAAGAAGTGAATCTGTGAGGTTGAGGCCAGTCTGGTATGCATAGTGAGCTCCAGACCACCCGGGACTAAACGGAGACCCTGTCTCAAAAAAATGAACAACAAAAATCTTTCTTTGTAGTATTTTGAAATATTTAACTAATTGTTGTCAACAATATCTACCTACCGTACTAGAGAAGACTAGAAGTTATTCCTATCCAGGTGTACCTTAATACCCAGATGTCCCTCCCTCACTTTCCCACCTGTCCTTGTTTTGATAATAATGATTGCATTTTCCACTGAATGCATTGTTATGTAGTTAATTCTTGGCACCGTGCTTGCTGCATCCCATAACTTTGGGTAATGATACATTTTTAATTTCCCATTTGATGCTGTCATTGACTTATTCACAGCTCAAGAAAATGTGCAGTGGAAAATTTTAAGGTATTTTTAGGAGACATTTATTGTGATTTTAGTGCCTCTTTGACATACCAATTTAGGAATATGTGTTTTGCTGCTTTTTTCTTATTACAAAATCTTTGCAGACATGAATGAGGTAGTACATGAATGATAAGACATTTCTTCTAATTTGAAACAGGGATTTATCTCTTCTCAACTGAACATGTATTGCATTCCTGTTTGGCATAATATCAATATATAGATAGAACTTAAGCTGCCAAGTAGGAAACACTAAGTCACAAAGGCCTTAAGTAAATGAACTACTCCTTAGTAACTGACGAACACTGTAATGTGGAGCTTTAATATGGAGCAGCATTGTTTTATGGATCTGGATCCCAGTCATTACAAATGAAATTTTATCTGCGATATCCACTTTGTAGAAATGCCTCTGTATGACTTCTAACTATTAGTTTCTACTTATATTCATAAGAAAACAGAAGTTGTCGAAATGGGTTTAAACCTTGCTACAATCGTCGATGCATTCCACACGGCAAACTATGTGATGGGACGGATGACTGTGGAGACAACTCTGATGAACTAGACTGTAAAGGTGAGTATTTTTGCAGGAGCCTAGAAATGTTATTATGATAAATGCTTCATGTACTTTTGCAAAGTTTGTTCCTGCGAGGACCCTGTTACAAAGTATCCAGTAAGATCTACTGAATACAGTTTTATAATTGCTTTTTGAATGGAACTAGAGATCCTTGTGTTAAAGGAAATAAGCCAGATGCAGAGATGTAAGTAGGTCATGATCTTATTCGTATGTGAAGTATGAAAATATTAATCTCCTAGAAGTTGAGAGTGGGATGGTGATCACCAGAGGATGGGAAGGGGAAGGGAAGAGTGTGATGGGGAAAGACTGATCAGTGAGTAAAATGGTAGAGGAGAGAAGGGGGAAAATGTGATGCAGAAAGTTTGATCAATGGGTACTATGATACACTTTGATTCAAGAAAGGATTTCTTCTTATAGTTTCATCAAAATAAATTGAACTTAAAATGTCATGAATACCTTGCTATTTACTTTTTAAAATCTTTTTGACACAGGATCTCTCTGTAGCCCCAGCTGGCCTGGAAGTCACTCTGTAGACCAAATTGGTCTCAAACTCATAGAGATCTCCCTGCCTCTGCCTCCCGAGTACTGGGATCAAGGTGTGCACCGCCACACCTGGCTTGTTATCTACTTTTAACTAGCTTTTCACCGTTGCCCTTTCTTTACCCCAATTTTGTCACGTTGTTGTTTTTTTTTCAAATATTTATTATTTTTATTTTACATGTATGCATGTATTACCTGCATACACGGGTGCACCCGTGTTGTGCCATGCCCATGGAGGACAGAAGAGACTGTCAGATCCCCTGGAACTGGAGTTACAGACAATTGTTAGCTGCCATGTGGGTGCTGGGATTCAAACCTGACTCTTCTGCAAAAACAGTCGGTGTTCTTAACCACTGTGCTATCTCTCCAGCCCCCGACACATTGTTTTTAGGATGTTTCTGTCCTAAAATGTTCATTCCTGATTTATTACCCTAAAAATGTTTCCTATTATTTCTTCATTCTCCCTTACTCATGATCTCATTTCTAATGAATGGCTGGAACACTTGGTACTAATCTTTTAAAGTAGTTTTAAAATAGATTTATTGAGACATATTTATATAGCGCATGTCATTTCAAGTGTACTCAATGATTTTTAGTAAATTTGCCAAGTTACACAGCCATCATCATCAGTGAATCCTAGAAGACCTGAGAAGACCTGACCTGTGAAGACGGCTCATCCTCACTCCCTTTGTGTTCACAGAAAACTAGGAATTTTGCTTTCTTTCCCGATAGATTTGTAGAATATACCAATATATTATGAACCTTGATAGTATTCTTGAGGCCTCCTTTCTGTATATACTGTTCACATAACCAATCATCAGCACGTTTTTCAACTGTCTGAAATAGTTCCCTAATCAACCCACTGTAGCATGGGTTGGATATAGCTTTACTTTCCCTCCCCATCTGTGATTTTTCTAGTTATCCCTAATTTTAATCATTCTGATATTTCCTAGAGAGCCACTAAGGCAGACAGGTGAACTTGACTTCCTGAGTTAAAAGTCCTACTTCTCTTTTTAATATATATATATATATAATTTTTGTTTTATGTGTATGAGTATATTGCCTGCGTGTAAGTGCACCCATGCCATTCAGTTCCTGCAGAGGTCAGAAGAGGTCATCGGATCCCCTGGAACTGGAGTTATAGATGGTTGTTAGCCACCAGGTGGATGCTGGGAATCGAACCCAGGTCCTCTGCAAGAGCAGTCAGTGCTCTTAATGACTGAGCCATCTCTCCAGCCGCCCTCGCTCCTATTCTTGATGTCTGAATTTTATAAATCACTTCAGCAATCTGTGCCTCATTTTCTCAAAGTATAAAATACAAAACAAAATGAATAGCAATACTAATATTAAACTGAATATTGAATAAGGCTCAGAAGGACACCTGCCATATTAAAATGCCATGTAAATTTTTCCTTTGTAAAATCATTGACCATTAATAACCCCTAATAGATAACCAATGTTTGTAGAATAAATGACAGATTTTTAGTGTGACATGCAAGACCCAGCAAATACTTCCAAAACAATTTCTATTCTAAAGTCTTTTCATCTACTGAACACATCTTTTCTTAGTATAAAGCACCAAGTTAGGCTGAGATAAAGAATTTCACCTTCAGGAAATTTAAACCTTAAGGACACAGGAAATTGTTTTCTGTAGTATTTTTCTGAGAATTTCATAGATGAGTACAGTATTTATATTGTTTCAACCCTTCTCCCTCCCTATTCCAGCTCTTCTCATGCCCCCCCACACTTCTTCTCAATTTCATGACCCTCTTTGATTACTATTGTTCTATATATTTACATATATGCTGAGTCCATTTAGTGGTGCTCACATGTATATGTACTTAGTGCTGACCACTTGGGATTGGATAACCTAACAAGGAGTTCAAGAAACCTGATTCTGCCTCTCTCAGCAGACATAGATTGCCAGTAGCTCTTCATGCAGAGGTGGGACCTTGTGAAATTTTCCCAATTCACATTGGCATGTCAACTGGTGCTGTCATTATGCAGATTTAATGGGCACAACTTCTGTATCTAGATTGCCTCAGAGCTCATCAGGTGTCCTGTACTTCTGCCTCTTGCAGTCTTTCCACCCTCTCCTGTGATGTTCACAGAGACTCAGGTGTGGGAGCTGTATTGCAGATGTGTCAGTGTATGTGTGTTTGGGGGGGGTCGACATCACACAGCTGCTTATTGTCGGCATTTTGATCCGTTGTGAACTTTGTCTCTATTTCACAAATAAATTTCTTTGCTGAGTAGTGAGAACTATTTTGTCTGTAAATACAGGATAAGTATTTAGAATATGGTAAGAAATTACATTTGTTTAGGAAAGTGTCAATAGTAAGTTCTTCTCTGTGGTCTGTGACCACTCAAACTGTGTATACTTGGTTAGGCTCACAATACCATGCATGGATTCTGTTCTATTAAGTGGCCCCTCAGACTAATTAAATAGCTATTGATTAATCCCAAAATAAAAGTGCCACTATTGAACCAACAGAGATATTTTTCTGGGCAAGTCACTGTTGTGGCTTTACAGGTGGGTAGGACCATTGATTGGTTTTCTCCTTTGTCAGCTTGCGTAGATAGCACTGTCTGATACTAAAGAGCTAGTGTTCCAGGCATGGCTTCCAGGCCAGTTCCACCTCAATTGTTCCTAGTCCTGGAACACAGGACGTTTTGAGACACTGTTGGTTTTCATCTTGCTAAGATATTATTGGGGACTGTGGTCTATATAGGATGAAAGCTCATGAGGAGAGGGCACTGTGAGGCTGGGGCACGTGGAAACCTCCAAATGAAGCTATTCCAAAGGCAGAGAGATGGGCAGAGATCCAGAGTTCAGTGTAGATTTATACTACAACTACTGATTTGGGACTCAGTAAGGAGGGAAACCTCAGAGAGTAATGGTTGTTTTAGCAGAATGCATCAGAATTACTTGCCAAATTTTAAGAATTAACCTTATTCTTAACAATGGAAATACAACAAAGGCCTAGCAGAATGATCCTCCTAAGAACTGCTTTCTCAGAAAGGCAGATCATTCAGCATTTTAAAGATTTACAGAGAAAGCAAAATGGTAGGTACAGACTAAAAGTGTTTGTTGCACTTCATGCATAAGAGGTAATTTCTTGATTCCTTTCATGAAAATTTGCTCAGTAAAGTCATAGGAGAACCAGACCACATGAGTTAAACAGGGCATATTAAGTAAGTACTGTGAATATAAACCTCTTTTATACATGAGATAGAGTTAGGTTGAAGGTGCTCTGAATAGTAAAAGAGCAGGAGAATGTGTAAAAATGACTCAGGGGTTGCTTGGAAGGATTAGGAGTATCTTCTGCCTGCTGTCTTACAGTTTCTATCTTCACTTAACCTACTGGCACTTAAGGTTCAGAGTTAGGAGATCTAAGTACATTTGCAAAGTATGTCACTTATTATTTCATATTGTCTATAAATGTTTAAATCTGATAGAATATTATAAGATGCTGACAGTATATGATGGGTGCAGTTGAAAGCAAGAAGGAAAGAAATAAGACCAAGAAATGAGTATTTGCTATTGTAGATCGTGAAGCAAGAGAGGAAAATACAGTAAATGAGGTTCATGGTAAAAATAAGGAGCTAGACCATGAAGGAACTAAATAATGACTATGGAAAGCATGTTGCAACACATTTTTTGAAAGATGCCATTGAAAATCAACACTACTTTGGATATTCTTGGGAAATATAAGATTGTCTTCAAACGTGGTGAACAGATTACTGTGTTCTGACTTATGAAGTACTGTACCTACTATGTAAGAGGTGTTTATTAAGTTTTTGTGGAGATGGTTGAAGAGATGAGTTATGAAATAGCGGTAGATATAACCCTGCCAATGATATTAATCGCAAGTGCTGAAGAGCAGCGATATTAACTCTGTATGTTTTCGCTCTTTTTAAAGCTTAACCATCTCCTCCACATTCTTGGTCATAGGAGAGTGCATTTGTGAATGGCTATAACTTTTCTTTTGTGATAATAGCATAAAAGCCATAGAATTTGGATATCTTAAAAAACAAATAAATTACTGATCTTCAAGTTCTTTCTGTATAATGCAGGATACTTGATGTTATAATTGCATAGAAACACATACTGAAACACTTTTTACCTATTAGCAATTTGTGTTCTTGCAATGTGAGTGTTCCTATAGATAAACTAATAGGTTGTTTCTTAGGTAAAACTTGGCTTATCTCAAGTACATCTCTGGTTTTTTTCTCAACTGTCATTGGTCAGATAATGTACTTCTTATGTACTTCATAGATGCTTTTTAAGCCACAAAAGGAAAATCTCAATATGCCCATCTCCTATAAGCTCCATGTGTATAATGCATTGATTCAGGTGTCAGTTCAGAAAATAGCTCCCCTACAGCACAAAAAAGATGATGTGTCAAAAAACAAGAAGAATGGCAAAAAGTTGTCTTTTGAAGTCTTCCAATTAC